TGTGTGTGTGTGTGTGTGTGTGTGTGTGTGTGTGTGTGTGTGTGTGTGTGTGTGTGTGTGTGTGTTAGTGAGCTAAATCTGACAAAAACTCTGAGGTGTCCTCAACTGGAAAAACGAATAGCATAAATAATTTATAATTAATACTGTCAAGAGTTATGGATTGGGTTAGGGTTAGTCTATAGTATTATAATGTTATTATCTGAGAATTAAAACAAAAGAGACAACTAACAGAAAAAAAAAGGTTTATGAATAAAAGCAAACAAACTTGCATGTGTGTGTGTGTGTGTGTGTTCATGGCTTGGACCATTGCAGCAGGGGTCAAGACTCATGAGGATGATTTGCCACTGACAGACTGATTTTATTAACCATCTTACCCAGATGAATAATTCAATCCAAGATGCAATTTATGTCAAATAAATGTACTGTTAAACAGAAACCGTTTCTGACACTTTATGTCAAGTTGTGTATTAGTGCATCCTCATGTGACAAAAAGTGGAAATGCAAGTGAGAACGCCAGTATATTTTTTTGTATGGGAGGGGTTTCAACGTTTTTTCCAGACTAACCATAAAAACAATACAATAAAAAATAATATAATAATATAATAATAATAATAATAATAATAATATATATATATATATATATATATATATATATATATATATATATATATATATATATATATATATATATATATATATATAATGTTTTTAAAATGTATATATAATATATATATATATATATATATATATATATGTGTGTGTGTGTGTGTGTGTGTGTGTGAGTGACTCGCATATATACATAAAAATCATTTATATCAATTGTTTAACTAAATTGATTACTACTAACTGTATGGCATCATTTAATTTCATCAAGACAAAGCTTGCCTCTAAAATGATACTTTTTTACAGCAATGTAAGTAAAAGGCATGAGATGAAATATGAGATGTGGTATGTATTTTTTGTAGATAAAAAAAACTAGGGAAATATCACTTATGAACATAATGTTATTATTGGTAATTTCCAATCAGGCTGGAATTTTGTTCAAAATGATGCAAACATTTTGAGTATGATATATATATGATGAAATAATTGACCTATTTATTTTAAAAATGCTTAAAATCTAATATTCACATAATCTGAGATGTAGTGGAAATTACACTTTGACGTTCTGAAATACATGACAAAAATGATGGAATCCTCTACTGTTGCACATTATTATGGGACACATCAAATACTGAGAGTAAGTGTGATCCTTTTCTTTAAGTCCACATGGCCAAAAGTGGCCGTAGTTGAAGAATCACCCGCCTAGGCTCCTACAAAGCAATATGTTACCTGCTGCTTTTATAAAACATCAGGCATGTTTCTCAGGCATGACTCTGCTCTGTGCATAACATCTCTCTCTCTCTCTCTCTCTCTCTCTCTCTCTCTCTCTCTCTCTCTCTCTCTCTCTCTCTCTCTCTCTCTCTCTCTCTCTCTCTCTCTCTCTCTCTCTCTCTCTCTCTCTCTCTCTCTCTCCTCTTGGGTGCAGCAGGCCAACATCCCACTCCTAATGGAATGTGAGCGATCTGGGTCATGGGAAATGCATTTCTTTTTCTCAGACACCCGCCCACTTGACTGCACAGCTGCTGGTGGTCTATATCAGTGCTGGCAGTTTTGGAATGGTTAAAATCTGGATTAAGGATGGGGAAGTTGGTTCCTTGGTATTTTTTTTTATCAGACCTTATGTTCATGTAACTGAACCTGAAGTTCTTAATACTGTAGGCAAAATGGACTGAAAATTAGGATTTTTGTACAGTACATAGTACAGTACCCTACAAACAAATGGTGCAACTTTGGCATTTCCATCAATATAGTTTATACATTTTGTATATCCCTGAATGTTTAACAATCGGTTTAGGTCTATACTCCATAACACTTGTCCTTAGGTTTCTTGCTGCTAATAATAACTGTTTCCCTGCTTGCACACCTCAGATTGTTCCCCTGGTTCCAAAAAGGATTTTACCACTGAGATTCCTACTCTTTTATTCCAGATGTTTTCAGTGACTTGAGAGTCTGAATTCATGATTTGTACAGATCTTAGGCTTCTTTTGACATATTTTATCTAGATGTAGCTAGATTTCCTGAATAGTGTGAACAAGGACTTCAGAGAACCATTCTCCTCCTGTGCATGCATAGTTAATCCACTAGATGGCAGACTCTAATGGCAGATATTTTGTGCATTAGCCTACAGCACCAATACTATAATAAGCTATGGATTTATTTCCATACTGCATACAGTATATTGCATATATATGATGCATTTATGATGCATAAATAAATAAATATTTACCATTTATATAGGGCATAAAAGCTACAGTGTATATATATATATATGATGCAATTATGATGCAATATACTGTATGCAGTATGGAAATAAATATTTTGTAGCTTTATACTGTAGCTTTTATGCCCTATATAAATGGTCTGGTCCAGAGAAAGTGTTTAGGGGCAGGGTTATCTGAGACCAAAATGTATTTACATTTTAAGGTTAGTAAAAAAAGTTTTTTTTTTTTTAGCCTACAGAGCAAAGCATTGTGTATTTTAGTGATTTGCATAACGAAGACGCAGTATTAACATTAAAAAAATTGTTTAAAGGACTGGTATTGGAAAGTAGATATTGTCCTTTTGATGAAACATTGAACTAATGACATAAAAGTTTCATTTTAATAAATTATAATTAAGATTATTATCCTTCAGTTGACCCACTCTTTTAATTGGTTCAGTGATTGGAAAACCAGGCCTTAGGCCGGTTTTACATAATTAGAGAGGGGAATCTCCTCTCTCTCTTTCTCTCTCTCTCTCTCTCTCTCTCTCTCTCTCTCTCTCTTTCTATAATTTTTGAGGAAGGATTCTTCTTTCAGCTGCAACTGCTATTGTCTTCAGGATTTCCTCTCTTCGGGGCTTTTCTTCCCGTTTACTTCCCTTCATGCAGTCTCAACTGTTTTCATTCTCCCTTTAATTCAGAAAATAACCACCATGTCAGAGTTTGCCCTCACAGTGTCCCAGGAGGCAGAAAGGCCCACTCACCACAGAAATATCAGATATTTTGCTTGATATGTCTTAATTATTACAGTCAGCAATTTCAGTGTTGTGAGTGACTGCAAAAATGCTGTCTAACAATCAGGAAAAAATTGTTATTTTGAAAGTGCTTGATTTTCAAGACAAGGACAAACTGCCCTAAAGGTTCTATAGTGTGTAATCCATCTTTATCTCATGAGTAGGCTATTTGTATGTATGTTTTTTTTTTAAATGTGGTTCTATAAATATTTGAAACCACTTTAATGTATACAATATTTTACACCACTGGTGAAATATGAGAAATGTGTTCGCTGTTCGTGTACAGGATATTGCACAATTTTGTTATACCAGATTTTTCAAAAACTATATTTTTATATAGCCTATAGGGATAAACGGGGACAAAATAAAGGGGCCATGAACTGGGTTTTTTATTATTATTATTTTATAATGTTTCCTGAGGTTCACTTAGTGAATAAAGTTAGTTTTTTTTTAAAATAAAAAACGGTCAATTTAGAAATAAAAGGCAATTTCCTACCCTGATTTTAGCCCTCTGATTTGAACACTGTGTTTGAAGGGGCGTGTCTGCTGTGAGACTCAATGTAAGAACCCACTGCTATGATTGGCTAACATCTTTGCATATTAAATAAGCATGGATGAGCATTGTAGCCGATGACAGACATGCATTTGCATTTTGTTATTTTTAGTCAAATTATCCTGTATCGCTATTCTCTCATTAACGTGCCAGTGGGCGGGGCCACAAATGTGATGATGTAGAAGTGGGCGTTGATTTGATTCTGCAGAGGCCGTCTTTCGTCACACTATGATGTCATAATGTGACAAAAATCCAAACTAGTCATTTTCTGAACTTGGATTAAAATAAAAAGCTGTTTTTGGACTAACAGGGAAGTTTTGAGTTCTGAAACAGACTACCTCTTACATGTCAAAAGATCAAGTAAAATGTAATTAAAACCCCTTTAAAACGAGAAATATGAAGTCACAGTGTATGTGTTGTACATCTAGACTTTTATTGTTTTTTAGCATTTTAATTAACTATATAATATAAATAATTTTAAATAATGGTAATAATTCATGGATGCATAAAAAATTATTTTAAAGTCGTCATGAAACAGTAATTTTTCCGAGTTGATTTTGTCCATTGGAAATTGATTGGGTCATTGGATCGTTGTCGTTTGCTACATTCTCATGTTAGTGACACACTACCTTGCGCCAGTAAACACATCACCAGAGATGGGAGAGCATGTTATTTTGAATAAAGATTATGAGGTCACATGAATAATGATGTGCATGGATAAATCATTTATAAGTAATACTGTAATATTCCATTAAAAAATAAGTATAGTCGATTTTGATTTTATGGCTTTAAAGTAATCTTGTCCCCCGAGAAAGGTGAGGCCCCCTAGTGGGACCCACGGTTAAGAAAAACTGCGTTCGTAGAGAAAAGCAAGTTGGTGTTTTAGGACCCTGAGGAGGAGTAGCTCTTGTCCTTTCCTCCGTGGCTTTCATGTAGGTGTATGGTGTGTGTTGGCCTGATTGAGTGCCAGTGGAGGGGATGAAGAGAGCTGCGGACGGTCACGCGTGTCCAGCATGCGCACATACAGCTCTGCGCGTCTCATCTCATCATGACCGGGACTTACCCCAACTATAGCGTCTGTCCTTGAATTACACAATTCCTGGATTTGTGGACTACAGGGACTTTCACAACCATTTATCTCTCGTAATTGTTTAACAAGTCTTCATTCTTTAGCAGTATAAAAAGTTGAAGAGAACTGCTGATTTAACTGATTTCTTAAAGAAAATGCATCTTATTTGTTGAAAAAAGGAAGAAACAACACGAAAGACAACCGGTGCAAATATTCAGAAATAACAGCACAAAACAAGCTGGGATTTTTTTTTTTTTCAAGGACCAGCGCTTTGACTAAGGAAATAAACATGTCCAGCAGAAGCATCGAGTGGGAGCATTTCGAGGAGCGCGAGAAGATTCACCGGTCCCCGCGGGGCAGCAGCGGTTCTCACTCCGGCTCGCGGGGTAACGGGCTCGTTCCCAGTCCCGCTCACAGCGCGCACTGTAGCTTCTACCGCACACGCACACTGCAGTCGCTCACCTCCGAGAAGAAAGCGAAAAAAGTTCGCTTCTATCGGAACGGTGATAAGTACTTCAAGGGCTTGGTGTACGCTGTGTCCGGTGACCGCTTCAGGTCTTTCGACGCGCTGCTGATGGAGCTCACCCGCTCCCTCTCGGACAATGTGAATTTACCGCAGGGAGTCCGGAGCATCTATGCTATAGAAGGGGGAAAGAAAATCACCAGCATGGACGAGTTACTTGAAGGTGAGGTTGAAGATTGTGTAGGTACAAATGTAGACACAACAAACACTTAAAATTCCATGTGGCATCCAATAAAGCACAACTGGCAATGGCATGATCCCACTTCCCACAAGGATGCATTGTTTGCAATGTTGACAGTGTAGGTAACAAGTCTCTAACGCACATACATACACACACTGGATTTTCAATCAATGCTGCGATTTTCAGAATAGCCTGGCATGACTGTTCTACAAATTCTATATATTTAAAAAACATATAAAATAAAATATAATAAAAAGGTAACAGACTAATGTTAATATAGATATATAATATAAAATGTAATCAAACAAAAATAAAATCTCACAGTCACTGTACTTGTACATACATAAAGTCTGTGTCTAATTTTAAAATTAAACATTACAAGGCATGATAAACAGGGAAAATCCAACCCCCTGAAATAGTTAGGTATAGTTAACATTGTTTTAACCAAGATTACTGTACTTAATTCACTTTTAGCTAATGGAATATTGAGTAAGCTACAGCAAATCTCAAGTCACTAAGGCCACAGTCATTATTAAGCTCCATTCCTTCCCCGACTGACCTTTAAAATAGACATGGAGCAGGATCTTAAATCGTTAATCTTTGGATTCACCCAAAAAATGAAATTTCATTCTGTCATTTATTTACCCCCATGTTTTTCCGTCTGCTGAACACAAAATAATATATTGTATACATCATATTGTTATAGGGTCCAAAACAACATTGGATCTTCTGACTGCTTTCAATGTGTGGAGAAAAACAAAACAAAACACAAAGACCTATTTAAAAATATTAATAATAATAATAATAATCATACAGGTTTGGCACTGCATGAGTGAGTTAGCAATGCAAGAATTGACTTTTTTTGGGGAAAAGTAGTCCTTTAACTGACATTGATAATGCAAGCCAGCCAGCCAGCAGTACTCAATCACATTGAATGTATTTCTTTATCTAAATGTTAATAATGTGCTCTTAGAATTGTAGACTAGACTGTCATAAAAACAAACCCAAATATCTGGGCCTTATTGTATCTCTGTGGTATTTCAACAATAGTATGAATGGAGAATTGCATAAGTAAAGTATTTAATGTGTAAAATCGTGTTATTCTAAACACACAATTCAAGCTGTATATATATTTTACTAAATTAGTTTAAAAGCACAATTCCAGCTGCTTTGGTCCAGCATGTGAGAATGTGACGCAGAATGTGGCTCTGTGTTTGCTCAATGATGCAATTGTTCAAGTGCTTTGCATTTGAAGTGCCGAGCTCAGCATCTCTTCACGCTGACTGAGGGTTGGCTTAGTTCTCTTTTGTGTTTCAAATTTGTGTAAAGTCTTACAAATGCATGATCAAAGCTATGAATGCTATTTGCTAAAGATTGCCAGGGACAGGCAGCTAGTATGCTGGAGTGTTTGTAGTGACACTGCATATTGTGCTGGCAAACCAAACTTTGTTGTACATAAGGGTCCCATCTGGACATCAAGGCAGGACTGGTTATGGGAGGGTGATGGAGGGTTCATAACCCTTGTGGCTGTTCCAGTCCACACCTGAGGCTCATGTAAATGACATCCATATTACTATATTTCTGTCTTCCCACACACAGTTTGTCAAATAGCTGCGATCTGATTTTGGGTCAGTTTTTCATCAGTAATAGTGACCCCATCTGGAGTCTTCTTCATTAATTAGCCTTTTGTTAATTTATCAGCTTAATAAAGCCCAGTGCCTTGGGAGTCCCCCCTCCTATTTCTGAGGCAAACTGGGTGAAATTGAGATTTTATGATCCAGTGGTGGTAACAATGACATTTATGTTGTGGATGAATGGTTGTAGTTCTGGGTCAGTGGTGGAACTAAATGTTGGCCGTAGTCTTGATTTATGAGTATGAAGTATTATTTGTTTAACTGAAAATGCTTTAAAAAATCTGCACTCCCTTTGCATGGTTTTTGGGTTTTGTTTTAGACATTCTGGTTTTATTTTAATTTGGACAACCAATACATACAGGCTGATGATTCTTTTCCTAAGTCTAAACCCAAAACTTTCCCTAAACCTATCCATAGCTTATTTTAGTTAAACATCCAAAATGCAACCTCAGAAAACAGAGCAGCATTTAATGTAAAGCTTGCATTTTGAAAATGATTTGTAAAAAGCAATATACTGAAATAGCTCTATTGGCGTGTTTCGCCCAAAAAGACTCGCCCTACAGACTGCTCTTTCCATACAATGTGAATGAACAGCAACCTTGGCTGTAAATGTCCAAATCATTTTCGTTATACATTATCCACTTCAAGCCTGCCAAGAACTTTTTCAGTTACCCATGATGGAAGAACTGCCCATCAAGCACCGTAGTGGATGAAGAAGAAAGAGTGCACAAACTTCATTGGTTCTGCGTACACGTATAAATGTCAATGGTGGCAGATTTGAACGTATACTTCTGTATTGGCCTACTGTACTTCAGTAGGCTTCAGTAAACGTCAACAGCAATGGCAAACCTGACTCACACACTGCTGCAGATAGGCGAGCTCAAATCTGATACAAAGCTGCTCGGATCAATATTCATTTACAGTGAGTGGCAAGAAGAACAGAAAACAGGTAAATATTTCCTGACTTCCACTAGGAGATATAAAACCACAAAGCTTTGCAGACACAAAGTCGGGTGTGTGAAATTATGAAATATGATTTACTTTCAGAATATCCTCTCATTTTCCTTCAGTAAAGTTTAGCAAGCAAAATCATAATAAGAATACTAATAATAATTCCACAAAAATGAAAATCAAATTTAACACGCAAAAAGTGCATATCAGATGCACGTAAAAGGTGATTTCTGCATATAAAGAGCCCACCAAATGAAAGCACGAAACTCGTGCTATAGATACGCAGTGCCAGGAGGTTGGATCTATAAAGATTGACAAATCATAAGTCAGTACTTTTTTCAAGGTGAGCCTTTTAGAAATGAACTTTTAATACATTTGTTTCCTATCTTTAATATTTTGTAGATCATTCTCTTATTTTGATAAGCTGGCTGCTTTCACTATCTTGACCCCTCAAACTAATACTCACCATAAAATCAAATTGGACAATTCTTATTTTTTTATGTAATATTGCAGTATTAAATGATGTATCCGTGCACATTATTATTATTATTAAATGCATGTGCCCTTATAATCTTTAATCAAACTAACAAAATGGGAAAGAAAAGACTACTACAAAATCATGCCAACTTTATCATGTGGATCACTTTACCACCATAAAGCTTACTCTGGTCTGCTCATCAAATATTAAGCAAAAATCATATGAGCAAGAGTGATGTTACACTGAATATCATGGCAAATCAAAGCGGAGCAACGGAACTAACAGAGTAAATTGCAAAAATAGCATCACACAAAATCATTTTGATTCATATCTTGAGTTATGAATTTAATCTATTGCTAATCATGCTCAAGTGTTGAGTCCTCTCAACAATTCACATGTTGTAAATATGACAATCGGACATGTTTTCTCTGAGGTAGGGAGCAGGAGGGGATGTTTGGTTTTGAGGGTTGTTTGTCCTCTTTTGATACACTGGCCTGTGTTTTGTCCTGACAGCACTGTGCTCCTTAGGATGACAAAGCTCCATTTTCAGACCAGCTGCCTCTGCTGTAGTGCCAAGATGTGCCATCACACGTAAACAGGCATGGCCTTTATGCTGCCATGCACACTTTCATGGACTTTAAGTATTTAACACAATGTCTATCAGACAAACTGATGTTCAATTTCGTAAAAATGATATAATGAACTCCATAATTATGCAACATTTCTTTGGCAGTAATGTTTCATTCTTGTGGTATTCATTTATAAGGCCTATTGGGTTGTGAAGTATCGCTGTGGGAATGGGAGTGTACTTGCTAACAGTTACATTGGAATTCCTTCGAAAAGGAAAATACTTTGCCTCTCTACACTTTTTAGCTGTGGTTTTGGACAATGTCCAAGGCAGAGTTGGGGTCACAGATGGGATAAGTGTGTGTGTGTGTGTGTGTGTGTTTTTATTTTTTATTATTCAACCCAACCCTTTGCAGTCTCAGCTGTACGTTTATAATAGTTAGCAGTATGTTATTATATTTACAAATTGTTGTACAGGTGCTGAGGTGTTTCATTATGTAAGCATGTGTCAAGGCTAGTTTGGTTTATTCTGTTAAAGGACTCTTATTTTGATTTTCATTTCATTACTTTGTTTCCTGTATTCTCGGTTCCTGTATATAGTTCCTGTTTCCTTGGTTGTCATGGTTTCACAGTTATCATTTGTTTCACTTGGTTACTGATTATTTTCCTCACCTGTGTCTAGTTTAATTGATCATCATTTTCACAGCACTGTTTTCAACTAAAAACGGGAAACTTTTTATGTTTCCGCTGTTCATTTACACAACAACGATGTTTTGGGGGCCTGAAACTGAAAACCTTTGAAATAGGTTTCTAAATGCAAGTTTTTGAAAATTATAGCGTAATCCTCTTTGTGTAAACTACAAAACACGATTTTGTGAAAACGGTGACGTCATGCGCATACGTGTCACGTGTTTAGTCTATAGGCATGTAGTGTTTATTTACAAAGTGACATCACCAACTACTGACCTGACATGCACAACACTGCGTTTTAGTCGTTTTCGTGATCCGTGTGAATGGGGATCGATTTGACAACATTGTTGTCTGTATGCGAAAAACGCAAAGGAAAATGTTTCCATTTTTAGTACATTGTTGTCGTGTAAACATACCCTTACATTTCTGAGATTCTTCTGTTCATGGTCGGTTATTATTGCTACAAAGATCCTTGAATTGACTTTATCTATATCTTATCTATATCTAAGAATAACTTTAACTCAGAAATAGGGCTGTCAAATGATTAATCACGATTAATCACATCCAAAATAAAAGTTTTTTTTACATAATATATGTGGGTGCACTGTGTATAATTATTTTGTATATATATAAATACACACACATGCATGTATATTTAAGAAAAAAATATTATTTATATATAAAATATTTATATTTATATATAATATAAATTATATATAAATCTATATACAGTATATACATGATTATACATAATTATACACAGTGCACCCACATATATTATGTAAAAAATATATATATTTTGGATGTGATTAATCACGATTAATCATTTGACAGCCCTACTCAGAAATATTACTTTAAATCTCACAATGTTACTGTATTGCGATTTAATATGCAATTATTTAAAGCTCTTTATATTCTGTATTATTCAACAAAGACAATAAATTGAGCTTGAAATGTCTTTAAACAAAACAATTCAAAACGAAAAGAAATAGGCTAGCCTCTGATTATGTTATCCATTTTGTGCATTTCTCTCTCTAGGCGCGTTCACTACGGAGATGGAGATCTTCAAATTCATATTTTGCAGTGGACACAGACAACACTAGTTTATTAATAAAAATAAAATGCAATAAAAATCAATGCACGCGTGTCACCGGATTTACAAATGCACATCTTGCTTGTTGCACGCACACATTATGTCGAAATAACATTATTAATAATACATAAGAATATTTGATTGAATGCTGAATGTTGTGCTTGGTTTAATTTAAATTTAAAACCTGAATTGTGATAATTAAAATAATTGAATATGATATAGGCCTATTGAGTGGCCAAGTTTTGCTCATTTATTAAAAGTAGCCTATTTATACATAATTGCGCAGCTCCCCTGTCATTGAGCACCCCCTCAGTCAGCACCTGCGTTAAAAATTCTCTGGCGCCGCCCTAAGAGCGTTTTTTTTTTTTTTTGGACCAAATCAGATGGACCAAGTACATTTTTCAAAGTCTATTTTTTGGGCTAAATTTGGACCAAATCAGACGGACCAAACAAAGACCAATTTTCAACGTCTTTGTTTGGGCTAAATTTGGACCAAATCAGACGGACCAAACAAAGACCAATTTTCAACGTCTATGTTTGGGCTAAATTTGGACCAAATCAGATGGACCAAACAAAGACCAATTTTCAACGTCTTTGTTTGGGCTAAATTTGGACCAAATCAGACGGACCAAACAAAGACCAATTTTCAACGTCTATGTTTGGGCTAAATTTGGACCAAATCAGACGGACCAAACAAAGACCAATTTTCAACGTCTATGTTTGGGCTAAATTTGGACCAAATCAGACGGACCAAACAAAGACCAATTTTCAACGTCTTTGTTTGGGCTAAATTTGGACCAAATCAGACGGACCAAACAAAGACCAATTTTCAACGTCTATGTTTGGGCTAAATTTGGACCAAATCAGATGGACCAAACAAAGACCAATTTTCAACGTCTTTGTTTGGGCTAAATTTGGACCAAATCAGACGGACCAAACAAAGACCAATTTTCAACGTCTATGTTTGGGCTAAATTTGGACCAAATCAGACGGACCAAACAAAGACCAATTTTCAACGTCTATGTTTGGGCTAAATTTGGACCAAATCAGACGGACCAAACAAAGACCAATTTTCAACGTCTATGTTTGGGCTAAATTTGGACCAAATCAGACGGACCAAACAAAGACCAATTTTCAACGTCTATGTTTGGGCTAAATTTGGACCAAATCAGACGGACCAAACAAAGACCAATTTTCAACGTCTATGTTTGGGCTAAATTTGGACCAAATCAGATGGACCAAACAAAGACCAATTTTCAACGTCTTTGTTTGGGCTAAATTTGGACCAAATCAGACGGACCAAACAAAGCCAAATTTTCAACGTCTATTTTTGGGCTAAATGAAGGCTATGACGGGCCGACTTGATTTAGCCCAAAAAACAACGTCTTAATGACGTCTGGTGCTGGGTGGGAAGGTAGTTTTGTGAAGTCAGAAACACCCACAATATAAAACCGCGTTTTTGAGACTGTCTTTTTGAAAATACTCAGCAATGGTGTTGACTTATGAATTTGCATATTAAAAACACCACATAGACAAATAAACAACGTTAAAAACTTGATTTTCACCACAGGGGGTCTTTAATTAATAATAAGCCATATCTATTTGTACATTTTGCACAGGACATATTTCCATTCATGTTTTTCTCCTCTTCTGCTTTGGCAGGAGAAAGCTATGTGTGTGCTTCCAACGAACCCTACCGTAAAGTGGACTACACAAAGAACGTTAATCCCAACTGGTCAGTCAATGTGAAGACTGGGACGTCCCGCTCGATGCCATCTCTTACCACTTCAAAGAACGAGCTGAGAGAACGAGAGAGCAAAGACTTCATCAAACCCAAGCTGGTGACTGTCATCAGGAGTGGCGTCAAACCGCGCAAGGCCGTCCGGGTCCTTTTGAATAAGAAGACGGCTCACTCCTTTGATCAGGTGCTCACGGACATCACTGACGCCATTAAACTGGACTCTGGGGCTGTGAAGAGACTCTACACTCTGGAGGGCAAACAAGTAAGTGATAGATCTAAAAAGCCATTTAATGAAAGTATTTAAATAAAGATATTAACTAAACCCTAATGGGGGTTGAAATGATTTCTATGGTTTCAAACGGCATAATTAATCCGAAATGTTTTCTGAGTGATTTATGCCCTGGCATTGTCTGGAAACCATAGGAAACTAAGCCTATTATGTGTGCTCTGGTCTAGTATCATTACTACATCTTTAATTTGAAGAGTTATAACTTTTTATCCCTATGCTAAAAAGGTCTGTGGCTAACTTTAGTCCCTCTCCTTAAGGGGAACAACTTTTCCTCAAGCACCCATAAGTTTGCCATGAATTTTTTTTTTTTTTTTTTTTTTGACATTTTATTCATCCAATGGATCTGGGATTTTTAAAATGTCCTCGCTAGAGATGATTTTCAAACGTTTTTTGAATTGAGAGATTAGTTGTTTTTTCGTGGCTCTCAAAGTTAACATTGATATCAGACAGTCCTATTAAATATAAACAAGTCATGCCTATTTCTTTGTGTTAGCTTCCTGTACTCGCTGAATGCCAATTGATGCTATACATTTTTAAACTAAAACAACCTTTTCTTTTTTTTTCCTTGGATGCTCCAATAGAGCATTGTCCTGAAAAAAATTAGGCCACACTTTAGTATTTTATCACCTTTAATAAGTGTGAATGCTTCAGTGATGCTACCCTCAAGGGACTCCTAAATAATGATGTGAGCTGTTTGTAGTATAGATAGGGCAGAATTATACATTAGGGTGTGGTAATGACCACCTGAACCCTTTTTAATTCTGAACGTGCTTGAGCCAATCCAGACAGGAAATCCAGATGGGGCATGTCTTTAGTCACCTCTGTGGTTGTTAGGACACTAAAAGAAGTAATTCTCATTTCATTTATGTGTGTATGGTAAAACCAATCTGCAGTTCATTCCAAGGACAGCAAAGTGTCAAGTAAATGAATGTGTTTGATTCTGTTGCAGCTTCACATCATTCATTCATAATCTTAGTAAATATATTAACTACTTGACTAGAAATTATCAAAATACTTTGGTTATTTACAGGAGTATCTGGAAAAAAGTTATATATTGTTATATAAAGTTATATACATTATATTGGTACCTAGTGTTTGGCAAAGTATAATGTCGAGGACTGGCAGAAAGCACAATTGAACTTTGTATTCTGGTAATGACAGGAATAATGAGCATTCAGTCATGGTCTTTCCAACAGAGACAGTATTCAATACATAGTGTGTCCCACCATTTTAATCTTCTTTCATCTATACACCTACAGTAGACTTCCTTTAAAGCTTTTTATACAATGTATCTTTTTCAATGTATCTAAAAACCAAAATGTGGATTTTCAGCAAATGAAAAATACTTATTGTTCTATACACACCCACAAAAAAAAAAAAAAAAAAAAATCGAAAGAATCTTCATGCAGAAATCTTATGAAGGCATGGGAATTATCCCCTTCTGTTCTCTTTCAAAAAGCTGGGGTATGTGGGGTATGTGTATAGCTGACGTGTCTTGATGATGTCGTTGGGGATTCGACTCGGCAGTGGTGAATTGTATGTAGAGAGCTCCTGGCTGCCTCTCGGCCACTGTGAATCTCTTTGGAATTTAGTGAGAGAACTCATGCGCATATTTAAAGTCTGTCCTGGCTTGATCTGCCTTAATTATGCAAAACTGCCTCCAATAATTGCTTGGCAAAAGTGAGTGTAGAATTATTATGGTAATGTCTTAGGCTGGTTTTGGAAGAGTAAAGAGTAAAGAAAGTGGTTGAAATGAATCTCTCACCTCTTCCTTTGTTTCTGGGTGTGTGATATTGGTGGAAGAAATATCGTCATTATTTTTGACTGTTCTTTTAAAGACCCCCTATGGTGAAAATCAAGTATTTAATGTTGTTTATATGTCTATGTGGTGTTTTTACTATGCTTTAAGACAAACCATGTGCACATTCATCAGTCAACACCATTGCTGTATTTTTTCCTTAAAAATGGTGTTTACCAAAGACAGTCTCAAAAACATGGTTTTAAATTGCCAGGTTATCTTGGTATATTTTTCTGTTGATATGAAACATTGGGTACATTTAGCACTATATCGGGTGAATTATGTATACGATATATATTAATATGTGATGATGAACTATATGCCTTTCTCCACTGAGGTTATTAGTTGTTCAAAGCATGTTTTTATGGGATAATGATTTTTAGAAGGCAGCTGTGACTCTGAGATGGCGAACAGGAACATGGTTTGTGTAACATTAGCAAACATCATTAGCTGTTTGATAACATAGTCAAGCCAAAGGCTAATCATATCAATAACCGTTATGTGTCTGACATAGAGAGCAATACATAAAACGCATTACCATTCTGATACATTGACTTATAAACGAGCCTGTATAATTCGCTCTTCCACTTGCTTCTTATATGGCTGAATTAAACCAGTATTTCCACTTGCCATTCTTGCCATTCAGCGTTTGCTACAGTAAAGTTGAAAGAGTAGATCAGGTATTCTGAGCTGATGTGATTGAGTTGAGGCGGGGACCAATATGCATATTCATGGATCGACATATACTAAATTGAAGCAAGGGTATAGAGTTACATTCAAGTTATTTAAGGCATGAAATATAGACCTAATTCTGAAAGTTTCAAGGAGTCCCACAGGGCTCTGTTTTTGGCGCTTTTCATTTCAATATTCCCATGCTCCCATTAAATCACATCTGGGGCCTATACCATGATGGTAGTTGAACAAACTCAGGGTAACAGGATTAGTTTAAATTTGACAAAACCAAACCAATTCAATCAGGCTTTGTTGGTATCATGAAGCTTATTATGCTTATTTATTTATATTGATTTATTTATCTTATATATTCTTATATTCTTATCTTAAATATTTATCTTATTTATCTTATTTATATACTTTATACATTATACATAATTCATTAATAAAATGCTGATGAAAATGCTAAAGCTAGCTGGCAACTTTTTTCGAAAACGCTGTCCGGGAAAGAATTAAAAAGTTTAGAATGTCAATAGTAGTCTTAATTTGTAGACAACATTTAAATTGGACCATATGTTGGATAGTCTTAACCTGTGAAATGGACTTTAAGCCAAAAGTGACCTACTGCTTTTAGCCTAAAGTGCTCTACATTATTCATAGACTTTAGCTGAGATTGAGCAGCCAATGGCAGTTTACCACTAATATAATAGGCTCCAGTGCTGTCCTTGATTGGGATGAACATGTCATCTACTCTGCAGCACAGGGAATCCTGATGTTTGTGAGTGGCTCAGTGCAGTGGGAGTAGCTCCTGGCACACACACACACACACACACACACACACACACACACACACACACACACACACACACACACAAATGGCATGGTTTGTCGTTGATAAGCATTAAAAATGTATGATGGGATAGCACTGCATTGATACCATGCCTTTAAGTCAATTCATGAACATCCTTGTTTATTGAAGAGAAAATGTATGAAATCTTAACACCAGCAACTGGAAATTTTTGTTTTAGATTGCAAGATCTAGTCTAATGAATAGACTTAGGGAACATTTATTACAAATTAAATAATTAAAAAATATTTTAAATGATATCTTTTTTTTTAAAGCAGCAACCTTTTTATTGCTAGGTTAATGTTAGAGAATAATTTTTATTAGCATTTGAACTATTGTAACATGAAATATATTTCATTTGTGCCTTAAATATTTTAAAGGCATGGGACACCACAAAGTGTACCATGCAATATGCCCTACTGTAAATAAATTGGTCAACCTGTGCATTTCTCTGCAGTTTATCTTGTGTGCTGCTCAGCTCAGCGATCATGGTGAGGCGAACACAGCTCAATACTGTTGCACTCTCACTGTGTGTCTTTTCTAAGCCTTATAGTAAGATTAACATCTTTGAATCTCTTTAAAACTGAGGAAGGAGATAAGGGATAAGAAATAAAAACAATAAAGCCTTGAGACTGGAACTTTATATTTTCAGACATACATATAAGGTTCCAAGAAATATCCAACTAGATCAAATCCATCAGACTGACTTAGATGAAACTTGTCTTACATTTAAGCTGCTTTTCGCACACTGAATACACATCATATTGCTTTCCTAGCGTGTGTTTGTGTGTGTGCGCACGCGACTGCGTGTATATGTAACTATTGTATGTCTGTGTGCACACACACAAGACAGAATTTGCTTTATATGTTTACTTGAGAGCTTTTTTGGTTGCTTCAAGCATGCATCACTGTGATTATGTGTCATATGTGATTACAGTTGGTACGCCCTCACTAAGACTGTAAAGAGTTTGAGGCGGCATGTCCTCAATGCACAGCTGCAGACACACTCCATGAAAAGTCCGTCCTCCAGAGTGTATATTGTGTCACTAGACTGTTTTGATGATATCACTTGAGTGTCTCTGAGGCCCATATTGGGCAGGGTCATTTTGGCTGGGATGCATTTTTATTTTTTATTTGTGAATATAACCACCATTCAAAAGTACAGGGTTAGCAAGATTTTTTAATGTCACCCAGGTATTTTTTTAAAATCAAAAATACAGTAAAAACAGTAATATTATTACAAATTAAAATATAAGGTAATTTATTCCAGTGATGGCAAAGCTGAATTGTCAGCATCATTACTCCAGTCTTCAGTGTCACATCATGATCCTTCAGAAATCATTCTAATATACTGATTTGGTGCTTGAGAAACATTTCTTATTATCAGTGTTGTAGATCAGTTGTGCTGCTTAAGATTTTTAAACTGAATTTTTTCAGGATTTTTTGATGAATAGAAAGTTCAAAAGAACATTGGAAATAGAAGTTGTTTGTATCATTATAAATGTCTTTACTGTCGCTTTAAATGTCCTTGCTGAATTAAAGTTTCGAGTATTAAAAAACAATCTTACTGACTCCAACCTTTTGAATGGTAGTGTATTTATATTCATCATCAGCTATTTTGTTATATACAACTATAATAAGCGTAATATTTGCAAT